AGCCTCATCTTTCTCCCGCGGAGCGGCTGGTAGTTTCGAACTGCTGACCTTAAGGTTCGCAGCCCGATTCGTAACCACTACGCTACCAGAGCTACACTGACCCTATATTGAGTTTCCAAGGAGCAGCTGGTGAATTTGAACCTCCAACCTTGTGATTCAAACCAACCTTGCAATTCAGAGCTTATTCTACAGCGCCACTCTGGTAGATCACCAGAACTTTCTTCTGAGGTACCTCTGAGTGGACTCGAACCTCTGACCTTTCAATTACTACCAAGTGCATCATCCAGCGACTCCTTAAATAAAAGCAGATTAGGGTTTCCGGGGACTGGGAGCAGGGTTGTATGGGAATGGGTACAGTGGGCTTCTTTCAGATGATGAAAATGTTCTAGAGTTCATTGTAGTGATCCTGGAACTCTGAATATACTCAAAACCATTTTAAACAGTGAATTGCATGGTGAGGTAAATTATTTCTTAATACAGCTGCTATTAAGAAGTCCAAGGCACATCTATGCATCGCACTGCAGTTGACACCATGTGTATCTTGCCTTCCAGGCCTGCTCTCAGCAGTTCCAATTCCAGCCTGCTGGATAAAACCTACACGCAGCGATTCCCAGAGTAAGACGTTCTTTTAAAATGTCCACGGTAGGGTGTTCTTGGCTGTAATCTTTACAGGAGCAGATCTCCGGGTCTTTCTTCTGCGGGATCACTGAGGAGATAGGAACCACCAATCTAGGTCAGTAATTGAAACCAAACCTTTGTGCCAGCCAGGGACTAAGCCACTCCTAAGTATGAGTATAAAGATGGCTGATACAACTTTTCCTCTAGTCCATTTCCATATTTTTAGCAAAATGTCTAGCCACAGATTCTGTGGAATTCTGCCAATATCTTTTCTGATGCCAGGAACTGGGCAAAATTAACAAGCACATGACTGAAATGGCCAGGATTCTGATTTATTTTGATCCGTGACTTGCAATCTCAGCTCTCTGGAAGCTGGTATTTCTTTCTTACTTCTATTTTAACATAAGACTTATCCATTTATCTCCATTCTATTTTGAGTGAGCCTTTACAATCCAAATCCATGACGCGTATGATCCCTCGCCATCTGATAAACATTAACTTGATACTTGAAATGCACACTTCACTGTACCCTGCAAAGTAAAGACTGTGTACGTGCCCATTTTATAGATGAGGAAACTGAGGCTTAGAAAGGTTAAATAACATGCTCAAGGTCATACAATCTGTAAATATCAGTCCAGGGCCTCAATCCACATCTGCCTGGCTCTGATCCCATGCTCTTCTGAATCAAAGTTGTTGTTTTATTTCCCCAGTAACTAGGTGGTGGTGGCTGTGTGCCATGGAGTCGGTTCCGACTCATAGCGACCCTGTACAGAGTTTCCGAGGCTGTAAATCTTTATGGGAGCAGAACACCTCATCTTTCTCCCACGAAACAGCTGGTAGTTTCGAACTGCTGACCTTGTGGTTTGCAGCCCGGATTCGTAACCACTACGCTACCAGAGCTCCTTTAGTAACAAGGTGGATAGTAAATATTTTAAGCTTTACAAGTCATGAGACAAACTTAATGACCCAAGAATGGGTGCTTACAAGAGAAAAGAGATTTCCACACATTTGAAATTTATCATACTATTTCCATGTCAGGAAATATTCTTCTTACTATAATATTTTTTTTTTCCAATCTACTTCAAAGGGTAAAAACTCTTTCAGCTTGCGGACTGTGCAAAAAGAGATGATGATAAACCCTTCCACAAGATGATAGATACCACAGGCTGCCTTTAAGCTAAATTAAATGAAATTTTGCAACAAATAGATGATCCTTACTGTTTTAAACTCAGTTTGCAAAAAGCCCCTCTCCGCCCCAGCGTCGGGTGGTGCTTACCACTGTACTCCTTCTCAGAGGAAGGGCTGAAACTGCGTTTAACTCCTCGTTTTTCTCTGGGGTACTGATACTTGACCTTGGAGAGACCCAATTTAAGCAGCACTTGAGTCTCTGTGGCAACCCCTGTGTGTCAGAGTGGAACTGTGCTTGCTCCATAGGGTTTTCAGTGACAGATTGTTCAGTAGATTGCCCGGTCTTTCTTCTGAGTCTCCTCTGGTAGACTCTGACTTTTAACCTTTCTGTGAGCAGCCAAGCTCAGTGAATGTTTGCACCACATAGAGACTCCATGACGGCAGCTGGTTGGTTTCTGACTCTTTTTGTAGTGGAAGGAGCACCCCACAGTAGGGGCTGAGCAGAGCAAATAAGCTCTTTCTCTGCCTGGGTCCCCAAAGCTCCACTTCCTAGCAATAATTCTCACACAGGTCCTGGTGCCCAATTCCAGCAGCTCCTTTTTACCTCAATTTTCTCCTTCGACTAGCTGAGAAACAGTTGGGATGGTAGCTATCTCCAAGCTATTGTTGTTGTTAAGTGACTTTGAGTGGGTTCCGACTCATAGTGACTCTGTATAGGGCTTTCGAGGATTTAAAAAATTCTTTGCGGGAGCAGAAAGCCTCATGTTTCTCCTGCAGAGCGGCTGGCAGGTTCAAACCGCAGACCTACGTGGTTCGTAGTCCAGTGTTTATTGTATGGAGCCACCATGCTCCCCATATCCAAGTCATTTGTTGTTGTTAAGTGCTGTCGAGTCGATTCCGACCCATAGAGACCCTGTATAGGGTTTCCAAGGAGCAGCTGGTGAGCTTGAACCATCGACCTTGCAGTTCAAACGGCTTTGCAGTCTGGCATATTAACCCACGGCGCCACACCAGGACTCCATGCAAGTCATAGGGAAGCTAAAATTCATGCCAATTTGTTTTTGGTTTTTCCTCTCATTTTTTGCAACTTTCTGCAGAGGGAAGAAGACTCTCTGGGCCAGCCACAGCCACTGGCTTAGAAGAAATGAAAGGTTTCAAAATTAACCCAGTTTCCCTTGTGCAACGGTGGTAAAAGACAAATAAACAAATGCATTTTCAGAAGCAGGATGTTTACAGATCTGCCTAAGAGTTTTCATTAGCAGTGCAGGAACCTCTTGAGAACATCGCTGACCAACCATTGACCAAATAATCTTTGGTCAGCAACACCAGTTAAAGCAGAAACAAACAAACAAGCAAAAATGGCTGCTTTCGTATTAACTCATGAGCCCCATGTGGCTCAAGGAGTCCTGGTGTGTTGCTATAAGATCCGCACTGGACTGCAAACCACACGGTCAG